AATCAATTTTGCAGCAAAATAAGAAAGTAAGACAACAGGGACTCCCAACCTCAAAAGAAAAAATAATCAGGGGTGAAAAAAGGGCAGTTTCAATGAACCAGATAAAATATTAAGTGGCGCTCACGGCCTGAGTCTTTCACAGATGTCAATGTCAGTAGAAAGAATGCAGGAAAACATTACATTCACTGCACGAGAATATTCTTCTTATCTCCTTGATCGAGACACTGATAAACTCCATTTACCTATTTTCCCCACGTACGCAGTGACCCTCAAAATAAATATTACTTACCTAGTTTTGCTCTCAAATTTGGGAGGCTACCTTGATCATCCTTGCCAACATTTTTTAGGTTTCTTTAATGCCATGAAGAAAGTGTTCTTAATTCCCATTATTTTGAAGAGTTTTATGATCAAAAATAAATCACGGCTATTTACACAGAAACAGGATCTTGACCTTGTTGCGTGTGGTCTTCCATGCCATTTTCTCCCATTGTAATATCTGAAGTCACTGCTAACCCAATTGTGCACGTGGATCCTGTTTTCCACAACAATTTCATTAGGGAGGACACTGGAATGAAATGACTTTAAATATAGCCAACTCCCACCTTCAACAGCTGATTATCTCATGTATGGGGTTCTCCATTACCATTGATACTCGGTAAGGCCATTCTGGCCATTTCTGTAGTCCGTGGGAAGGGAAGGTACTAAAATCCAAATGATCCAAATTCGATAATGTGATAAATATACTAGTATACGACAAAGTCCAGAAGAAGAGAGTGGAATCAAAGTTTAAACTGGGGCTTTGCATGTCAATTACCCACTCTATCTGCTGACCTGCCAATACCAGAATCATCAATCACGCCTCTGCCCAAATGAACAGAGGGCTGAGAACACAACAAAACATGCTGTGCCCAAGGAGAGGATACCCCATTATTATTCCACCTCTTTTTGGTTTTATTTGACAAGAGAAGGGGAAGTGAGTGAGGCAGGGGAAGCACAGAATAAATACTATTAGTCACCAGTTTCCCTTGAAAACCTCCCACAATGTTCATAACAAAGCAGGCGCTCATTAAACATTGTTTAAATCAACACTAACGGCCAGAAGACCATGCAAAACATGAAAATGCTTCAGATATTGTCTCTTTATCTAGACCTTCTCATTTAAGCCATTCATTTTTATCCCTGCTCATAAATACCCTGCATTTTCTCTTGAGTTCCCCCTAAAATGTCTTATCTGCTTCTCCATTGAAGCATGAACTCCAGGACTTCAGAGCTATATCTCTTTGTGTCCCACACACAGTTCTCAGGAAAAATGCCTTCGATGAATAATACAAGAATTCCACATGAAGAGCTACATGCTCTCTCATCTACAACTGACTTCCACTTTTTTATTACACAGGCATCTAACAAACTAGCTCATGATGCACTAAATTTAATACTCAAGAGGATACAGACTCACACCCTTGATTTTAATGTCTCAGTCAAAACATCACTATATTGGCCATGTCACACTATGAATGTAAGAGCTGATTATTGCTGTTACTCAATTCATTTTTACCTTCCTGAGCACAAATGTTAATGCAAGAGAGTTTTGAAACTTGCCAGGAGCTGGAACAAAAGAAAGCAGGGCAGTTTCAATGAACCAGATAAAATATTAAGTGGCGCTCACTGTTTGTGTCTTTCACAGAAAGTCTCAATGAACCAGATAAAATATTAAGTGGCACTCACTGTCTTTCATAGAATGTCAACATCAGTAGAAAGAATGCAGGAAAACAGTATATTCACTGCAAGATAATATCCTTCTTATCTCTTTTATGAAGACACTGAGATAAACTCCATTTAGCTATTTTTCCAACATACACACAGTGAACCTCAAGATAAAGGTTACTTATTTATCTAGTTTTGCTCTGAAATTTGAGGTGCCACCTTGACATTATTTGCCAATATTTTTTTACTTGTGACTGCCTGGCTACATCAGTATTATCTTCTACTTACTTTTGAGGCTCAGCAAAAGTAGTGTATTCAGAAAGATGCCTCTTAGTAGCATGCTATTCTTATAAAAAGTTTCACCCAAAAGTCTCTAGAACTGTAATTTTATCTTTAGCTTCTTGAGTACAAGTGACAACATTAAACTATAAAGCTATAAGTTTGTGTACTGGTAGAGATCCATAAGGGTAACAACTTAAACACTTTATTGTGATGTTTCTGATGAGCAATCCAGCATGGAGAGTCACTATAAAAAGAGCTTCTTTGGTTGTAACAAAACTTGAAAGAACTGTTTTATAAAATGATTGTGCATCTTATACAACATACTACCCACACTGACAGTAGGGATTCAATGGGCTAAAGTGCAAAACAATTATGAGCAAAGTAATGTGACCTGTACACAGTGGGCAGGGAGCAGGCAAACACTCCCGCTTGCAGCAGCTGCTGGATGGGAGGGTGGGAGGGAGAAAGATCCCATGGCTGCGGGGGTGAGAGAGGGAAGGTGGGGGACACAACACAGGGGAGACCAACTGCTGAAGTGAGGTTGACTTGTTAAGCTACACTGTCCTACCTCTCGCTGTCACTGCTTGTTGGTGCTCTATGTGGAAAGACACAAACAGTGAGTGCCACTTAATATTTTATCTAGTTCATTGAGACCGCCCTGTTGTTGTTTTTTATCCCAGCTCAGAGAAACCTGTGTAAATAAAAATAAAAAAATGCTCACGTAAGGTACAGGGGTTAGGGAGCAGGCTGAAAGGAAAGTGGATTCAGATGCATGAGGTCTGGGCAGATAGATGTATAAGAAAAAAGGGTGCTGCACAATTCCCATCACATCAATAGGTGTTTAGTGCATATTTATTTGCAACCAAATGCTAATATGGCCATTGGGCATTCTTAGCACTGACTGCCATTCCTTGCTAGAGTTTTCGCTTATTTGATGCTCCTAAGACAAAACTCCAACCTTGCATAATTTTTCTGATTTTAACTCTTTTGATCTGCAAGCATAAACAAATGTCATTTCTGTGTTTCTCCAAAGGAAAGAATTACATAGAATAAAGATCAACTGTTATACATGCCTTTGAGACCATGTGTCAAAGTTGGGAGTCAACTTGCCTTTATAAGACAAATGTGAAAATAGAATATAACGCCATTAATTTTTATCTCTAGATTTTTAAGGATTTCCTCTAACTCCATATGTCAAAAATGATAATATTATCCATGCCTAATTATTCCTAAGACCACATACACTCATATGCTGCTATACTTCCATTTATCTTCATGAGGCTACTGTGCGCCCTATTACGTTGAGGGATAAAGAGCACAATCTTTTGTATTCTTGCATAAACAAGTCCTCCCTTCCCTTTACAAGTCACCCTGTTCTTTACAATGACTTCTTTATTTTTCACAAGTCAACTGTACAATATCTGCTTCGTTTCCCAACTAAAATGAACACATGCAAATTCTCAGTCTCTTTCCCATTAATGTTAACTTAGATAAAGCATCTATGATAGAAACTCCAAATCCACATGCTCACATGTATACAATCTTTAACAAAACTCTGACAGCAGTTGACTTAAAACAAAACAAGTAATATATAAATATATAAAAAACAGCAAATGTTTGGCAAAGGCCAAAAGAATCAAAACTACACCCTCCCACAACCACAGCACCACTGTATCCACCCTTCTAACATGTTTGCTTCAAACATTACAACCCATCCATTTACTGAAACCACAGCTTATGCCTGATTTAGAAAAGTAAAGTTCACGGACTTACTAAACTACACAACTCCCGACATCAGGCGCAGATGCCTGGTCTACGCCTGGCAGTTACACAGCATAGGAAATGAAAACCTGCATTTTTAAGCTCAAGATCAGCGGACCACTGTCGACCAGCTCCTTGACCCACTAAACATCTGACATCTTCAAAGAGCATTAACTCGTCCCCCTTGTGCTATAGCTGAACAGACAAAAACAAATGCTTAACACACATGATCCAGGAAGAAGGGCTGTGTTTGATTCTCGGTCCATGGAATATAATTACTGTACATACATAGCTTAGTTTATTCTTTCACATTTCAGCAGTTTTGTTTCCCCAAAGAAGGGACCCAGAGCAGGTCCCTGAAAGAGTCTAGAGAGTTTCTTTCGGCACGGGAAAAATGTGATCAACAGAGAAAACACAATCCCAAGGAATGTCAGGTTCCTTTGTAATAACTTAAATAGTGCTTCCCGACTGGGCTTTGCCACTGCACCGAATCGAGAAACCATTTTAGAGCCTAACAATCCAGTCTACAGCAAGCATGCTAAGAGGAAGAACTCAAATTCTAAACATAAAATAGGGGTGTGTGAAGAAATACTGAAATGTTTCCTTCTCTTCCCCCGCCCCTCCACACCCCCGGGACTGGTATTTCCCCCTCACCTTAAGGGAGGCAAAACATGCTAAACCTGAAAACAGAGATCAACATTGGTCTGAAAAGGAACTTGAAAGAAATCCAAAAACTCCTTTTGGCTAAGCCCTCCGTGAGTTAATTTCCTTGATGTCACCCAACACCTGTTCAATTCAAGCGTTCCTATGATTCATCAGTCTTCTTTAAGAAGATGCTAGGGGGCTATCCATGATTCCCAACGTTTCCTCAGGGCACTGTTTCAGAAAAGAGCTCCACGTCCTGACCTCGAAGCGTTGTAAGAGAAGATTCCTCCTACGATGGTGGTTTACCATTGAACTTTTCACCACGTCACATGAGCATGTGGATCTGATGGGGGGGGGGGGGGGGGGTGCTGAGGACTGATAATGGCTATTTTATCCTTCTCCGAGGGGCACAATCTCAAGCTGAATCTAGCTGGAGGAGCCCGTCTATTTTAGACATGTAAACAATTGAATGACACTGAATTCCAGTACAAAAACCACCCAAGACGCCTAAGGAGGCCAAAGATTGTGAAGGGACATCAGTGCTAGAAACAAAGAATTCTACATGGCACACTTCAAAAAATGTTTAAATTAACAAAGAATCAAGTCACCTTTCCTGGGCTGGGCTCTGTATATCCAGTTCTCATCATCCGCCTCCACCTGCTGCCCACACACGGAGAGCTCCCCGTCACTGCGAAACAGCCTCTTTGTCTGCCTGGACAGGGAGGAGAAATTTATCCAACTCACAGCACGTGAGAGGGAGCCTGGGTTTGACTTGAGTCTGAAGGAACCTGAAGAGCCTTCCTTTTTCATCTTCTTTCACATCAAAATCCACTCTAGACAAAGGACAGCCCAGCAGACAAAAAGCTTCTTTTTTAAAAATTGGTCCGGGTCCTTTCCATAAGCCTGCTCCTTCCCACTTATTCAGACAACGGTGAGAGTCAGGCACGGGCGGCTTTATGCAAAAAGATTGTGTGTCTGTCACTCAATGACAAAGAAAAGGAAAATGAAGGGTTAAAAAAACAATTTTTTTTTTTACTCCAGCCACATTGTGCTACTTGGTTTCTAGATCAGTGATAGCCACACACCACAATAAAATTAAAATAAATTAAAAGCAAAAAAAAATTTAAAAATCAAGCAGGGTGTTCATTTCAGGAACACTTGTCAGGACTTTGGGGAGAACAGAACCAAAGCACTCCGACTCTCTGCTGTGCACCTAGCATCCCAGCCTGTAATCCTACTCCCCTCCCAGGCATCTTTCCTAGCAAAGACAGAAAGCCAGCCGCCTGTGAACTCCTCGGCTGGAGAAAGAGATTCAGCGTCAACCCAGGCGCCCGGCTTAGAGTTCACCCGCGCAGGTGACTTGGGAGAAGTCGAGTTCGGCTCACTTGTCGCAGCCCAGCGTGCAGAGTCCTGAGCCGCCCACTCGCCCTCTTTCCCAGCCAGGAGCCGCTCAGGATCCACAGGACTCCACAAACAATAAAACGGGCTGCGTGGCTGGTGCTTGGATTACAGAGTAGGCGCTCCTGTGAAAGGCGATAGGCTTTCCCCACACTGAAGGCGCCTCATTGGAGCCGGGAAACCCCGCCTCCCCACAGCCAGTACTTCAGAGGCAGCTCAAACTTCTCAACTCCAGCAAAGCGAGGAAATGCAAGTCTGTGCAGAAAACAGACTTCGGGGATAAAAACACAACAACGTGCTTATTATCAGACCACGCTTCTCAGGGTGGGGTTTTGAGAAGGGGTTTTAAAAGAGTATATAGTGATATACACATCCAGCCTTCCTACGTGGATGTAGGAATGTCATCGAAGGAAACGTGCTTCCAAAGAGAATAAACCTGACCCAGCTATCACTTCACTCCCGGCTGTCAGCAAGGTGAAATGCAGCCATTCTTGCACCTGTCATGGTCTCTCCTCTCTTCCTGGGGCAGCCAGTGTGGGACTGAGGACCCCCTTCTGCTTGCCCCCTGGCAGCGCACACCCCCAGGGCCATTCCTCACTAGCTCTGAATGACCTTCCTCCCGGGGAGAACCATCACCTGAGAGCCATGCTAGCAGCAATTACCTGCAGGCTCCAGTCCCCAGACCCCACGTAAAACTTTAATCGTGACATGCAAAATACCTACAGCCACAGGCTGGAAAGCATTTCATCAAGGCCAACGTAATTCCACAATTTCCAGGAGTGGTAAGAGTCCCTGCAACTTTCTATCATAAATTGGCATCCCCTCTCCAAAATGTTATTCAGAGTGAGGCTAACGAGCAGCAGGTTGAGAACTGGGACAATCTCACTTTCCTTTACTCAGAATTGAGCACATATATTAAAGCTAACAAACTGCAATAGAAAAGAAACTGTGATTAAAAATTATAAAAGCAGGATTTTTAATTTATATTAAATATATTTTATGTATTAAAAGTCTTTTATATATAAAAGTCATTTATCTACAATTAATTGAGGTTTTAAAAAAAGGGCTCTCTACAAGCTTACAGGATTGGAACACTGATAGGAAAACACTGAGTGTTCCTGGGATGGAGCTCACCACCACGGGAAACTCGACAGAGGCCAGGCACTGGACTGAAGGGTGAAGCCACAGCAGTTCAAGTGATGCAGATATGGACTCAATTTAGAAGTTTAAAGGGTCCTTAAGAGATCATGTTGTTTAACCCCTCCATTTACAGGTGGGGAAATTCAGGCCCGGAAAGGTAAGTGACAACCCAATGGCACAGAGAGGAGTTGGTAACGGAACCAGGTCATGTCAGATACCACCGGGCTGAAAGCTTCACCACTTATTGGGGACGCTAGCTGCATCACCAAGCACTCGGGACCTGCTTCCGCTAGTAAACTGGAATGATATCTCGACTTTGGTCACTAGTACAATAGCAAAATGTTATAAATGATGTACAGCACCAGTGGCTAACATTGAAGTTCAAACACCCAGTGTTCTTTCTGTGTCAAGAACTGACACGGAACTTTTGAGAATCAAAATTTAAAAAGCAAAAAAAGGACCATCACGCTAGAAAATACGTAAACATCTTAAACGCCGCTTACCATTTCAGAGATTCATGACACCCATTCCATAAGGATCCATGAACCCCAAACAAGAAACACAACTGTCTCCTCCCGATGTCTCCATTTTTAATAGAGAAATGCCTGAGCTCTGAAATAAACCTTGTGCTGCTCTTTACATACGGTGAGTGCTGTGGAATGCTTTCCCCAGCTCAGGCTCCTCGGAGTGCGCCCACAAGCACACACAATGGCATTCAGTGGTTCTCAGCCTTCCTAATGCCGCGACCCTTTAATACAGTTCCTCATGTTGTGGTGACCCCCAACCATAAAATTATTTTCGTTGCTACTCCATAACTGTAATTTTGCTACTGTTATGAATCGTAATGTAAATATCTGATATGCTATATGTGTTTTCCGATGGTCGTGACCCACAGGTTGAGAACTGCCATAGATGAATGGATGTCATTAGTACCTGGTGTGCTTTCCTCCAGTACCACCTGTTCCTACACACATCTGGGAAGGAACTGAGGGGAGGGCGAGAGCAGGGGTGGGCAAACTTTTTGACTCGAGGGCCACAATGGGTTCTTAAACTGGACGGGAGGGCCGGAACAAAAGCATGGATGGAGTGTTTGTGTGAACTAATATAAATTCAAAGTAAACATCATTACATAAAAGGGTACGGTCTTTTTCTCTTTTTTTAGTTTTATTCATTTCAAACGGGCCGGATCCGGCCCGCGGGCCGTAGTTTGCCCATGGCTAGGCTAGAGGAACAGGTACTGCCAAGCAACCAGGAAGGACACCTGTCAGTTCAGGGACTAGACTCCTGACTCTCCTTCAAAGTAAGCACACACTTAAGCTGACTTCCCAACAACCTTAACAGGTTTCCCATGACTCATGAGACCTATGGGTACATTTGCACAGTAACGAGCTCATCCATGTTTCTGTTCTGTCAGGCCATGATTATTAATATCTTTGTTTAATGTAAAAGAAGGTCAGATGAATTAACTACTGTTACAACGGGATCCGAGTTCCTATGTGACAAGATAGAACATGATGGTTTAAATCAACTTTGGAGGAAACATTGAGATTCTAACTATCCATGTTAGATACATATTGCAATTAACTTAGAAAACCGTACCAGTAAGTGGGCCACATGAAAAGCTATTACATTCATTCAAACTATAATTATTTGGCAACTAAGATGAACCACACATTTTAATTACCTGGACTATCAATCCAACGGCCCTGCATGTCCGCCCGCCCCAGCACAGGGTCGTGGCTACTTGTGCTGCACACTTCCTGTACATTACTGTGTTCCCAATCACCCTGCAGTGGGAAATCCTGATTTTTACAATGTAATCTGTCTTTTTCAAATAGCTTCAGCTGTATTCTTCAATGCGATGAAACATCTTAATTTAACCATTTTCCCCATGAAAATCTACACTAGAGAACATGCTTCCTAGACCTTTGAAACAAGCGTGCTGAACAGGTTTTTACCCCATCCCTCACTGTGCTTTCCCAGCTCCCCATGCACTGTCAGGCTGTCAAACAGACACTTCTGTTGTCATCGTCTATGCCAATAACCACTCCCTTCCTACCACGTGCCACCTCGGAGCTTCAGGCATCGGGAAGTCAGATAATCCTACTTACGCTGCACAAGTAGTGGGAGTGGAGGAGGGCTCACAGAATGAAATACATGCCTTTTGCAGCAGGGCCTTGTCGCAGCCGCCTCCTGGCCAGCACCCTTGTCCTTGCACTTACGGAATGGAAGCCCAAGGGGTGAAATGGCTGGGGGGTCTACACCAGGTGCATGATTAAGTTCTTAGCCCTTGAGGGTGGTGAGAAGCTTACCACTGACTACTAACAAAAGGATAAGAAATGGCCCTCTATTATTTCAGGGATGATTTCAGTAACACACTAAAGAAAGTTAACTACAAGAATGGGAGGCACCAGAATATATTACTAAGTGAAGTTTGAGAATCACCTTCTTTGGGAATTAATGAGTCAAATGCCCATTAATTTGGAAAAATTTATTTATGATGCTACCAAGAGTCACAGGGACAGACTACATTTGAAAGGTCCTCACCAAAAGATACAATATTTAACGTTTTAATGTATACCCATCCTTAAAAAAAGGCGTTTAGCTCAAACAGAAGTTTTTTATTTAATAAAAATTATTAAACATGACAGGCACAGGATTAGACAAACCCCTCAGCCCATTCAGGCATGGAACTGGTCCACCTGCCATCTGTGTAAAATGCCAGCCAGGAGTGGGAACTAATTTCAAGTGCCATCAGCTTTTTGGCCTCGCAGGCCACAAATGAACACTGTGACTTTTAATTTCCTTGTGTTCCTTTTCTGCCCTGGCCCTCCCCTTCAAATCTAGAAGGAGGAAGAGGAGAAACAAAACCCTGAAGTCAGAAACCAACAGAGCACAGGGCTAACATACAGATAAGAGTTGGTGGGGTTGGCTGGTGTGGCTGGAGGTGGGGCCCACAGACAGAACACTTATGAACAGAGACAAAACTGGGGAAAAAAACATATACAGGAGTGAGGAGAGCTACTCTAAATTGTGTCCTGTTCTCAGGCAGCCAGACCGGGCAGGGACAGTGAAGTGTGCACCCTATCAGATTACCACATGAATCACCCAGACGACCCACTGGGACCTTTAGCTACTAGGACAGGGCACAGTAGGTTGTCCAACTGTCATCTCTTATGCATAATTTAAGAGCAGATTTAAATGGAAATCTTTCTCTGAGGTAATTTGTACACACTATTTGTAACTAAAAAAGAGAAAAAGAAAATATTAACCTCAGGGCCAAGCCACCATCTCCCACAGTACACTAAATCCTCCTTCCCCACCTACCTCCTAGCCCAGTGGTGGGCAAACTTTTTGACTCGAGGGCCACAATGGGTTCTTAAACTGGACCGGAGGGCCAGAACAAAAGCATGGATGGAGTGTTTGTGTGAACTAATATAAATTCAAAGTAAACATCATTACATAAAAGGGTATGGTCTTTTTTTTTTAGTTTTATTCATTTCAAACGGGCCGGATCCGGCCCGCGGGCCGTAGTTTGCCCACGGCTGTCCTAGGCCCAACCGAACTAAAGAGCCAATGGACTGGAGAAAGAAGTTACGGAAGACAAAGCACAGCCTCTTGCCTATTCAGAGAAGGGCCTATTTTCAGGGTCCCCTCACCTACCACTGTTTCAATATTAAAAAGAAAACACTGCCTTTTCACTAAGCTCTAGCTTTAAAAATCAGAAGATGCCCCTTTCCATGGAGTTAACAGGGTTGGTTCCCTAAATGGGAAGATTAAATTTGTACTTATGGAGGATCACAGCTTAAGTCCCACCTTTCAGTGTCCTCGTGCATGACAAGGACCCCTGCACAGATCTGGCACTCTGAGACTTAGCCCCATGGTTCCCGTGGGATCACTTGATAGGGAAGCAATATGGCAGGGC